AGGAGGTCTCAGTGCTGCAGCAGGACACATGGACACGGGCAGGTGAAGGGAGGCAGCTCCTGACCTATTTTCCCTGGGCCCCCTGCCATGTGCAGCGAGCCGAGGCCGAGGCAGCCCAGGAGGAGGGACCCGGAGAGGGTCACAGGGAGCCCTCCCGGACAGGAGGGTGCATGTGCTGCTGTCAGGATGGGCCGAGGCTGCCGAGCACAGCAGTAATGAGGATAAGGAGAAATGCTGTCACCTCTCCCTGGGCATGGTGGCCCTGTGCTTAGGAGGAACTGCAGCTGTTGGAAGGTGTTTGGTGTGCTGGCAGTAAATTCCTGTCCCGGAAAGGCTTCTTTCCCTACTCCTCATATCTCCTAACCTCTCGCTAGTGTGAAATTCATGTAAATTTTGGGAGTCTGACGCAGGCCTGAGAGAATTTCCAGTGTTCCCTATGTCCCTCCCAGCAGCCAAGGCCATGGGGTGTTTGGGACACACCAGCTCTGAGGACAGGAGTGATGCCCAGAGCTGTGCTGTGGCCCTGCTGCAGTCCCAGGGCTCTGTTGGACAAACAGAGCCCTTCCTGAATCTCCCAGCGCTGCCTGGCCTGGAGGGTCCGTGCTGGCGTGGCCAGGGGAGAGGCAGTGCACCACCAGGGCTGGGTCCATGGCTCAGCTTGGTGACATCCCCCTTTTGTCTCCTCACAGGCCAACCCCGCTCCCATTATGGTGAACACTGACTCGCTGGAACAAGGGCTCTCTGTAAGTCTCCAGGTTTCCTTTTGCTTCCTTTGATCAAGTGCTGCATTTTCCCTGCTCAGCAATGCAGGAAAGACTTTCCCAGCTCAAGGAGGCCCTGGTAAGGCAGCAGAAGATCCTGATACACACGCCATGTCCCCACAGCTCATCCCACCCCAAACCTTGGGGCTGGGTGACACAGCACAGAGCCAAGGCCAGCAGCAGGTGATGCTGCGGCTCCAGCACAGGGAGGCACAAGGCAAAAGGACTCAGCAGAGGAGCTGGGGATCCCAGATGGTTGTGTCAGGGTTAATCATACAGCCATTTCCTCTGCCTCCCGTACAGGGGGGTTGAAAGGCTCTGCTGGAGCATCCTTTACCTTCCTGCACTGCCTCAGCCCGCTTAGGCAACCTCAGGAGGAGTACAGAGTTCTCTGGGTGCTTGCTGGCATCTCCCTCACCAGTCCTCAGGGCAGCAGGGCCCACCAGGTGCTGCTCCTCTCCCACTGAAGGCTGCCAGCAGCTGAGCAGTGCTTGGTGAGTGTGTTTGCAGCATTTGGCACCGTGTAGTAGTGGTGTAGTATAAGATAATCCTCCTCAGTTTGTGGCAGACAGGGTTTGCCTCCTGCTCCATCCGTCCCCAGAACATTTGTAACTCATTTCTGTGGGACAGATGAAGGGAGCAGGGTGGCCAGCATGGGTGTCTGGCCAGCAGCACTGGCTCTGTGCTTGTGGGGTGTTTCCCTTCTTTGCCCAAAGGAGCCCAGCTCACAGCTTTGCCAGGGCTGGGTGCTTTGCCTCGGGTTTACTTTTGATGAATCAAACTGCAGCTGCCTTCACAGCAGTGGAGCAGCACCAGGACTCAGAGCTGGGGTGGGTCCATCTCTGGAGTCAGGGTGGTGGGCACAGGTGAATTTGCCACAGCTGACTTCTGGGGGTTGAATTTGCCCTGTAGAAATCTGCAGATGTCATCCCACAGCCTGTGGTGGGGTCAGTGCCCATCAGAGCTGCACTGGGCTGTTGAGAAGAGCCACAGAAAAGAAGGAGAGCCTGGCTGAGACCTTTCCAGCCCTGGCTGTATGGTTTAATTAAGCCTGAATTAAAGCCACCTGACTGGGGAGGAAGGCAGTGGTGCATCTCTCAGTGTGCTGGTCGAGTCCAGCAGCCTTGTATCAATGTGGCAGAGGGGAGCAGCTGTCCCCAAATGTTACTTTCCCCAAACACATGGTAGGGCAGAGAGGAATTCCTGGGTGGAAAGTCTGCTTTCACATCCATTTTATACCCTCCCTGAGTACCAAATGTCACACCTCTGGAGGAGCATTGCCCACTCATCACTGCAGGCACCAGCACTGCATCCTGTGCCACCCTCCATCCATGCCCATCCCTCCTCCCTGCCCCTGTGAGCCCAAGGGCAAGGAGAGGTGAGCCCAGGGGCCAAGGACAGGCTCTGTCTCCCCAGGCAGGTTCCTGAGCCCTGCAGAGCCCAGGAAGCTCTGGGAGCCCTCATGTGGGGCAGCAGCCACTCCTTCCACTGCAGGGCACTCCTGCCCTCCTGGCTGCTTCCCTGGCTCCAGCTCATCAACCTCACATCCCTCCCTCTCCCTCCACCTCCATATCCCTGTCCACCCCTTCTCCCTGCACTTGGCTGGGTTTCAGGGGGTGCTCTGCACCCCAGACAGATGCCAGCTTCATGCTGGGGGTGGCAGTCACTGATCCCATCCATCCAAACTCAGCAGAGCATCCTGGGAGCACCTGTCCTGCAGGGGTCCAAAGGGCCACCAGGTTTAGCTGTGCCCTGCTGGCTGTGATCTGGTGTGTGTCACCTCTGACTGCCCGGAGCAGGGGAGACAGCTCAGTTTGATTCCTCTCAGCATCCAGCCTGGAAACTCTTGCCTTCTACTCCATGTTATACCAGGAAACAGGCCTTGCTCCATCTTTTCCTTCTCTGGGGTGCTGGATTCCTCAGACTTCAGAGAAAACAACTGCCCAAAATCACAGCAGTTTCCCAGGTCAGCAAAGGAGCCACACCAGGACCTTGCTGCAAACACCAAAATGCCCAATCTGGAAACATGAGGTTTTTTTACAAACCCAAAATCTGAAGCCCATTGGTACAGCATGTATTTGGAAGGGTTAAATTCACATCTTCCAGTCTTTAATTACTTAACTATTCATTGCTTTCCTTAATGATAAACAGATGGAAGTAGTCTAGTTCCTTCCTGTTCTAGTTCCATTGATTGCATTGGACTGGCTGTTGGGCTTGATTTGGCCCTGCCTGTTTATCAAGAAGTCTGTTCTGCATTTCAATGTCCCCATCCACCCACTCCCATCCCCAGGAGCACTCTAAGGTGGGGGCTGCAGCACTGGGAAGGCTGGGGCTCAGTCCATGGCTTGAGCAGAGCCCAGCACCTCCAGGGTGTAAAAACCCAAATAACCCATTATAAAATGCCTGCAGTGTTAAAATCATCCCTTGATGATTTTAAGGAGAGTGCTGGAGGGCATCACCCATGCTCACAGTTTCACATCTTGGTGGATTTTTCCCATCATGTCCATAATGTGGAGATGGAGAATTGGAAACAGAGTTTCCATGGCAGACGAGGTCTCTGCATTTCAGAACTGCCTCTCTAAAGCTAAAACAACTTCTTGCTGCCAGGCAGTTTCAAAATGAACAAGGAAAGTCACTCCAAAGCCCTTGAGGAGTTGAAAGTTTCAGAGTGAGGTTTTCAGTTGAAGGTTTTCAGGTTTCCTTGGATCTTGGTTTGGTGCCTCATTGCCCAGCAGTGAGGTGCAATCACCTTCAGTTGCTTAAAAACCAGGTGTGAGGATGGCAGATGCTTTCCAGGCCTGATCTCAGCCAGTGGGTCCCTCACACCTTGGCCCAAGTGCTGGCTGGGCCCATCCCAGTGCCAGTTCCACAGGCAGTGTGGCTGTGCTGTCCTCACAGCTGTTGTAGGGCTGCAAACTCTTCACTCTGCCCAGCTCAGCAGGTCGGTCCTCTGGCAAAGGCTGACCCCAAACAGGGCATTTATCCCCTCTGTGCACGAGGCCAGCACCGTGGGCACTGCACACGAGGGGCTGAGGCCAGGGGGTGCCTGGAGGGCAGTCAGGAGGTCTCAGTGCTGCAGCAGGACACATGGACACGGGCAGGTGAAGGGAGGCAGCTCCTGACCTATTTTCCCTGGGCCCCCTGCCATGTGCAGGCAGGCAGAGCTCTCCTGTGCCAGCGCTGGTGGTGCCAGTGCCAGCAGGGAGGTGCCCATTGCGCCCGCTGCCCTGGCACGGGGCTGCTCCCCTCTCCCCGTGCTGGGGCAGCTGTGGGGCATTGCCAGGTGCCCTCCACACCCAGGGCTGGCTGGCACAACCAGGGGCTGGCTCTGCAGTCTCCATCAGACCCTCTCCATTATCTCGATAAAGGGCTGCTCCACCAGCAGGTCCCAGTGCTCACATCCCAAGCACAGGATATGGGCAGGACCTTGCTCCAAAAGGGACTGTGAACTCTGTTATCCTTCTGCAGGGGATTTACTCTTGCAGCCTGGCTGCCTATCTGGGTTGCATTTGAGGAACCTGATCTTTACCTTATGAATCAGGCCTTCTTTTTTATTTAAAAAACAAACCAACAAGCAAAACCACAAAAAACAGCCAACCACCCCCCAACCCAAAAACCCACCTCAAATCCTTACTCTGCAGCAAATTCCAAGGGGTGTTCCACGTGGGCTGTGGCGGTGTTGGCCGGCAGAGCCTGCAGACAGCTTGCAGTAGCTCTGGAAGATGTGTGCTCCTCTGTTTATCAGATGAGTGTTCGCTCTGCAGCCTTCTGTTGATGAGCTAAATGCCATCATCGGTAACTATTCCCCTCCTGCTCAAAGGAGGAGTGGGCCAGCAAAGGCGCCTCTTCCTGAGCCATCAGGTGGGCTTGTTGCACAGGAAGGGCCTGGAAAAAATACCCATACTCTTTTCCATGAGAAACCAGGTGATCTTTAGGATCAGGATATGCTGGGAACAGCTAATTGGCCCCTGACACTGCTGTGAGCTCTGCAGGTGTTACCCGAGGAGAGCAGGGTGTGGTGCATCTTCCCAGCCAGGCATCTTCTCTCTGGAGATGGCCCCAAACAGGATCTGGGGAGCAGCACAGGGCACTGGCAAAGGACAGGGGCATCAGTCTGTGGCAGAGCCAGGTCCTGGCAGCTCTGGTGGTATCATGGGGAGGTTTTTGCCATCAGTGAGTGACTGGTATTTGATTTTCCGACGCTGGAACGTTTGCTTTGTTGGCTTGTTCCCTTGGTTACGTGGTATATATTAAGTTCTTCATTTGCCTTCCTTATACAATTAACTGGCATTCCATTAAGTGAATTTTGAAAACACAACCAGTGCCAAAACTTCACTGTCAGGCCTGGCTGACCCCAGCAGACACCGCACCAAGCAAGCACCTA